ATGCTGATCTAAAATTACTGATATTAATGACATGGACATTGGTCCATTTTGTTGCAATAACTATATATAGAAGGAGTAGTGTTCCAGAATGTTAGATTTTTAATTTTTTTAAATTAAATATTTTGTATATTTTATTATTATATTTTCTCAGGTGTGATAAACCGCAGTTTTAAGAGGGGGGCAAACACTTCTTCACACAGGGTCATGTAGTTTTGGATTTTGTTTTCCCTTAATAATAAAAACCTTCACTTAAAAACTGCATGTTGTGTTCACTTGTGTTATCTTTTACTAATATTTAAATTTGTTTGATGATCTAAAACATTAAAGTGTGACAAACATGCAAAAAAATAAGAAATCAGGAAGGGGGCCAACACTTTTTCACACCACTGTATATAAATTAAGGCTGAAATCTGAACAGATTTTAAAACATGGGGCTTCATATACTTACCGACTTTGGAAAAAAACTGGCCATCATACACTAAATGACTGAGGATCACACACTACCAGACTTAAAAGTTGTTCCGATCACAACAAACTCAAACATATGCTTAGAAGATGCTTGACAAATTAAAACAATATGTGTTCTAAAATCGACTCAAAATATCAAACATCTCTGATATTCTCAGACTGGATGGAATTATAGTGTGAAGCTAAAAAATCGGAATCTGTGACCATCATGATTTTCTATGGAATAGAATTTTCTCTGGCTCTGACTTTCAGCAACTAGAGTTGACTTATCCAAACTGTAAATCAGGGTAAACTCAGAGCAAAAATCATGTAGTGTATTACAGCCTTTAGAGTTAGTGACAACTAGCCCCGGTCTCCCCTATACATGTATGTATTATATTGATATATTGAGGACATATACTGATGGTCATTGGTTAGTGGTGAGATGTATTTCAACTGCTGAGAACTTTCCTGAGAAGAACCACATGCTGATGTGTACAAGAAGAAGATATCGATATAGGTTTTGGGGAAGCGTCCGTGAGAAACTAAGCAGAAAAATGTTCTTAGTTGCAAGAGTTGGCCTCAAAATAAACACATGGTAACGTGAGAGAAAAGGTGGAAGTAGTGAATCACCAAAGACTATATATAGACTCAAACATAATATCCTTCCTCTTACCAAGAATCCAATATGCTTCTGAAAGAAAAAGCTCTTGACCTAAAAAGGAAAGAGTTTGGTTTACTGACAAATGATGAGCAATGAAATCTATATAACACAGTAAACTCATTGTTTCCTGTAACCTATAGCAATGACATCTCCTCCATGTCCTTCGCAATAGCAGACAGTTAAGGTCAGCGATATATTTAAACATCAACTATACATACATCCATATATTAAACAAAATTACCTTTATGTGTTTTTTCATGGCACTGTATGCTTTCAACTGTTTCCTTAGTAGGTTATACTGTCTAGTACATTTGTGTATAGTTATGCAGATTTTTATTACTATGTTTTTTTTGTTAGTCAATTGCCTAAAAATATGTTGATATACTTCCCAATATAAAAATCCTGGTTTCGCTCAAAGGGATGTTAATATACAGTATCATGTGCTGTATCCTCCTGAGACCCTGCATCCTCATATGAGGACATTATATTTTAGTGAATTTCTCTGAGACTATACATGCCACAGTTGTTGATTTCATACATGTCCTCATATGAGGACACCGGGACTAAAAGCATGTTTATTACGCATTTTGGGAGACACAACAAATGAATAGGGAAAGAAAATATATTTCAATATTCCTATGAAATATTATATATTATTATGAAAATCTTGTCAATTATTACTCTCAATATTACACTTATTTTTTCATTACATGTTGCCCCCAAAGCACATTAATATGCAAATTAGACTTAGTTTATAGATACATTATATATAATGAGAAAACCTGTTTGTGGCCATTTTACACACATTTTGCATGAAGAAAAATGGTATATCAAATCATTCTGTTATAACATAGTTGAGAATTATCTTTATACAAAGTTTGGTAAAAAAAAAAATCCTGAAAACTAAAAATGTATTGGTGATTTAAAAAAAATCAATTGTTTTTGCCTATGCATGTTCATTCATGTCTTTTTATTTTTTTAAAGAAATTGAGTCCCGATGTCCTCTACCAAGGACGTAGCATAACTATGAATGAAATATAATTTTTTAAATTTTTTTTGCTCTAAACAATGTAATGACATCAAAAAATTAAACATTTTTCCTAAAATGTTTTGCCGGGTCTTAAGAGGGTATGACAGATGTGTTTTTGAGTTCTGTAATGACTCTCATTGCACATTGGAGGGCGCTGCTACATCATTACAAGAATGATGGAACGATGGCATTTATCTTATTATTATCTTATTATATAGTGAAACGTCTTCATGGAGATTTCTGTTGTCATCTTGTTATCTGGTTGAGCAGATGGTTCTCTCTTCTGTCATATTCCAACCTCTCATTAAAGGGTATTCACAGCCACATTGCCAGTTATATATAACTGAAGCAGGTCTGAGTCATACAACCTAATGAAGAACATTAGTTTATTGCTTCAAGGTGTACTGTCTTTTAATGGCATTAGTATTGTGGATGCAGTGAATAAATATTATTCATTATATATGCAGAAAAAATAAATAAAGTGGAATCCAAACATCAGAGACCACTAATAGCCTAAGAATTGTGTGATTTTTCATTCCTTTCTAATTAAATTCAACCTTTTTCATTACAAATTATATTATAAACACAACAATTTGAGTGAAATGCTGAATTGAAGCTGAACTGGCATGGTTTTGATTCAGTGATTGATAGCATGAACCAAGTTTGTATAAATCCGATGATCACATTATCCAGCATTATATTTGAGAAACATCCAAAAAGCATCTTGAGCTTTTATACTGATTTAATTTTTTTTTTTTTAAATACTAGTATTTGTTTATTTGCATGTTTAAAAGTGTGTGAGCAAGCGAGTGCGTTTGTGTGAGAGAGAAAACAATGCGATCACAGCCAATGGGGCAAATGCAGCAAATATGGACTAGTCAGCAGTAGGGCTGGATGACATGAAATTGCTGAGCACAGCATTACTCACCTTGGCTATAATGGGACCAATTCTGCACCGTTCCATTTCAATACAAACAGTTTCAACACTAATAACAGTAATATGATTTATAATTTTAATGATGACAATTAATAATTCAAATTGATCTTAATTAAACATATTAATCAGGCAGCTGTTTTCCATTTAAATTTTCTAAACAAAACTGTTAGTTTACCAAAATAAAACTCATGATTGAAATGGTGGATAGACAGAAACTGAGGTTCTTGAAGGGGAAAACTGTACATTTATTTATAAGGTTGTTAGAAGTGTGAACTGACTGACAACTTGACAACTTTTGTTGTCTGAAAGAGTTTAAAAGCACTGCCAAAGCAGGAGTTCTCCTGTCAAGTTTGAGAACATTGAGAGACTGCAGACAACGTCCTAGATACGCAAGCAGCATCCCCAAGCGACTCTGCACTTACAAGGTTCAGTGGCAGCTGCTAGTTATATAATAAACAGTTTACCTTATTAGTGTTGCAAGGCACTTCTCTGTGCTCCTCCATCTGAAATCCCACCTTATTTGGTAGCCTTACAGCTGCCTTGTGTTTCCTTAGCACTGAATGGTGCCTGAAACAAAGTCAAAAGGGAGTCTTACTTGTCTAAAGACCTAACCTGTGAATTATGTATAATTATTATGCTTAAACATTATTTTCCTGGAGATCCCAAACACATCATCAGATGTTTAAATGAAGTCCTGTCCCTTTGCCAGCAAACTGAGTGTTTCATTATGGGGAGTCAGTCTCCCTTTAACCAAATGTTTATTCTTGACTCTAAACACATTGTCTAAAGTATTAAGTTAAACCAAACAAGGCCAATATATTAAGTGTCCAGTGCTTAGCCTCAAATGAAGAATTTCTACAGTGTCTCACCACTTTTTTTTATTTTTATAAAATATATACATATATATTAATTGCGCTTAAATTTATACATTGTTATACAGTTTGCAAGTGGTCACATTTAAAAGCATGGGTAAAATTTTTAGTGATTTTTTTTTTTAAAGAACTAATGCTTCTATTCAGCATGGACACATTCATTTTATGAAAAGTGACAGTTAATACATTCATAATGTTACAAAAGGTTTATATTTCAAATAAATGCTGTTCTTTTGAACTTTTTACTCATCAAAGAATCCTGAAAAAAGATGTATCACACTTTCCACAAAATGTTAAGCAGCACAACTGTTTTCATCATTGACAATAATAAGAAAGGTTTCTTGAGGAGCAAAACAGCATATTAGAATGATTTCTGAAGGAGCGTGTGACACTAAACCTGGAGTAATGACTGCTGAAAATTCAGCTTTGCCATCATAGGAATAAATTACATTTTAAAATAAATGATCTTTTTATAAAAAAATGCAGCCTTGGGTCAGTATAACAGGAACTTTTGAACGGTTGGGTATACATAAATACATATACACGCGTGCGTGTTTCATTTAAACCTAGATTTGAAAATATGCTTTCAGACTATGTCAGAAAGACATTTATCAGGCACGTGAACTTCTGTGTTGTTCATGAGCATTGTCTTCTAAAACTAATTAATTGTCCACCTACACATTTCATTCAGTCAACGCAGAAATTATCACGGTAAGAAGAAGACCGTAGATGTACACTGCAGCCTAAGTATAGACATGCTTGCATGGTCTGTCATTGAGTATCATTTACTTGTTGCCGTTTCACTAACACCATTACCTATCATTAAATCAAATGTAATCCACGGAATCCTCACTTTGTCATTCCAGCCCGACGCATTCCCTTTTTGGCCACTGCCTGCATGACGTAGTCAGGGAAGCTCTTATCACAGGTAGGGAGGGGCGGAGGAGAGTGGCGACAGCGTCAGCGCGCACCAATCAGATGCTCCGCCTGGCGTGAAACCTCGGCGCTGATTGGTTGACGAGCACTGGCTCTTTTAAGCCGTGCGTTCCCTCGCGCTCACCGGCTCCGTGCTTTGGTTATCCACAAGAAGGCGTCGATCGTTGAGGAGGCGTTTAGGGATTTCTCTGCATGAGTGGAATAGATTTGGGAATAGACGTTTGGATCGTGGTGCCCTTGGAAGAAATAACGGGGGAAAGCGCAGGACAGAGCGAACTCGTGCCTTTTTCTCACTTGTGTTGAGGATATTGAGATTTCAGGATGCCAGTTTTCCACACCAAGACGATAGAGAGTATCCTGGAGCCTGTGGCTCAGCAGATATCCCACTTGGTTATCATGCACGAGGAGGGCGAAGTTGATGGGAAAGCGATCCCAGATCTCACCAGCCCAGTGGCGGCAGTGCAAGCGGCTGTCAGCAACCTCGTGCGGGTGAGAGTCCTGTCATCCATACAGCATCTTCTTGCTCTTTTAGTTGATCTGTTCTTTTATTGTCTTAATCAACGCGCACTTCATTGCGTTAAAACATCTCCCCTTATAAAAAATTACCATGGTAACCACAGTGTCTTCCTAAATACCATAGGCACTGCAGTTATTGCTGCAACCTCATAATAAATATGAGGTCTTCTTCACTTAGTATGAAACTTTGTCATTTTGTTTCTTTTTCATGACAGTGGGTGACTGACACCAATTTCCTGTGAAAATGTATTGCTTTGTTTTAGTAACAATAACACTGTGGTATTTAGGTGGAAATTATTTTTAACCGTGGCTTTTTTGGGGGAGGGTGAAGGGTCGTGATCTGATCAGGTAAATGTGTTGCAATAAGAATTGAAAATACCAACAGTCAGTGTAAACGGATCATACTGGTTTTGGTTTGATAATCACATCTAATATAATATATAATAATTAATAATTAACTTTCTTAGTTTTTGGTTAAAGGAAATAATAGTTGATGTAAACACATGGTCCTCATGGGTCAGTGAGGAGATGGACTGAAGCAGAGCATGTGTTGGGGAAGTGTTAGGCAGTGTCAGATTTCTGTATTTTTTTTCTTCTAAAACATAGTTCACACACAAACTAAAGTTCCTACATCTGAAAAAGATGACAATGAGTGTACAGTAGCTAAATTATTTTTAACCTGACACAACCAGTAAGAGCAGAGGGATATTGTAGTTAAAGATAGGCTGTAAACTTTCCAATGCTGTCATGATTTTAGATGTTCCCTAAATGCATTATCCTGTATAGGAGTAGTTACAGCATTGTGAACAAGTGAACTGGTTGGAAGCTGTGATGCTCATCATATACATCATATATGTGATGTTCCTCATCATAAAGGTGAAGTGATTGTGGTATAGTGGATTCTTTATAGGTGGGCAATATTCTTCTCTGTACAAGGAGTTCATCTGTTTAGAAAAGAACTTTGTTAGTTCCAGGAAACATCAAAAACAGAATCATCAATCCCAGAAACTTTCAAGAGTGTTGTACCATTATTTTCCCAGTGTACCCACAGCAACCGGACAGAACCTTGCTGGCATGTTCTTCTTCATCTCTGGTCTCAATAAGTGAGTCTCTATTTGAAGAAAATTACAACAACAATCTGTTATTGAAGCAGTAAATATTTTAACAAATTAATTTGATTGCTAGCAGAGTGTTTACTGCTGTGGTAGTGTAGAAAATGCATGTAATATGTGTTATATACCGAAAAGATATAGAATCATGTATATTATTTATGAGTTTGATTTTGACATTTCTGATTTGAACAAGCTGGCATTCTATTCTACTCTATTCTATTCTATATTCTCTATTCTATTCTTTTCTATTCTATATTCTCTATTCTATTCTGTAATGTGTTCTAAGTGTTTTCATGCCTTCAGCCATCTTAAACATTTATTTTAATAACAGTATACATGTAGATCTATTCTGTTATGTTCTATTCTATTCTATTCAATTCTATTTATTTATTTGTGTGTGTGTGTGTGTGTGTGTGTGTATGTGTTTAAAATAACTTAAATAAGGCTCTTGATCATTCTGTGTTAAATGTTCTATTCTATTCTGTTCTGTTCTGCTCTCATCTGTAATGTGTTCTAAGTGATTTAATGCCTTTAGCCATCTGGAACATATTTGTTTTAACAAGTCTATACCTGTAGATATATATTCTATTCTATTCTATTCCATTCTATTCTATTCTATTCTATTGTGAGTTGTATACAGTATGTTCTCACAAGTATATGGTTTAACTCAAGCAGGACCTGTGTTGAGAGGTCAGAGGTGCTGTCAAGTATTAGGCTATTTCTTCTTGTTTATTTGTAACAAGATAATTTACTCCCAGCCATCATTAAATAACGTGAAAAGAATCCTCCTAATGTAAGTGAGTAAGTCACAAATAGGGAGTGAGCATTTTGTGCCGGGAATAAATAGGTCTTCTAGCCTGGGAAGTAACATGGTCTCACGGTGCATGGCTGGAGGGGTGTTTCATGCGCAGAGAAAGTGACTCCCTGCTGGCTTGAGGAAGTCTAAGGTGTCAGCGTCTTCACTGGAGACACACCCCATCCCCCTCATATGTGCCACCTGTTACTGCTGAAGTGTCCAGCACATCAACCAAGCCTCGCAATCAAGGCTGAGGGAAGAGGTTTTATATCTCTTCTCACTCTAAAGACCGGTCTGTATCTTGGAGACTGTTCTATGTTTAGATTATCAACATTCTCTTGGTCACTGTGGGATTGTGGAAAGAGATTAGATTATATACATATTAGGTAACTAATATGTATATAATGACCCTATAATTGTTACAAATAAGGAATTGATTGTGTAATTGTTTATTGTAATGTTGACTCTCACTACTTCATGCTTCCACAGAATATTAGACATGGCCTAATAGATACAATCCAGAACCATATTTGGTATTAGTCTGTAACTTGAACTGATTAATGATCATTGCTGTGTGTGGAAGGGCTGGAATAAAGCCAGTGAGAAATAGCAAACTAGATCTACCTGGATTCATATGGACTATTTGAGTTATTTTCAAGGTATCGCTATCGGTATCGATATCGAAAAATTTTGAACGATACCCAGCCCTAGTTATTTTATCTCCTTCTCTCTGAATGCTTTTTCTGGATCTTAACGGAGAAGACAGCAGGAGTCTGGCATGGAGGGGAGTCTCCATCTCTGTCTGTCTGTCTGTCTGTCTGTCTGTCTTTTCAGCCAAGTCTGTCACAGTGCTTTGGAAGAGAGCCACTGGCATACCATCCATATGCCATATGCATTTGTAAATGTGTGTCGTTTATGTCATTCATGGCTAAGCTCTTAGATTCCCTTTGGAGTCAGCAGTAGTGCAGAGCTACAGTATATGTAAACTGTTGCTGTTGTTTTAACGCCACATTCAACAGCAAAATGCAGTGATTAAAGACATGACCTAGTAACCCAAAGCCAGACTCAAGTACATTAGTGAAATCTCCCTTAGTGATAAAATGATTGTGTGAGAGGAGCTGATGCTCTTTGAAATGTGTTAAACTGCAGATAATCCCAGTCATTCATACAGATCTATCACAATGTCATAGTAAGACCCACACTGATGACACAAGCATAATCTTGTTTGCAGTTTGCTTCCCCCAGCTCCCATAATCCCTCAAGTACTTTAAACAGGCATATTCTTTTTAAAGCAAGTCTCCATTGTGACTTCTTCACAAAATAAATCCAGCCTTGACTATAGAGAATGTATTTTGAGTGGCTTGAATGTTTGCATTATAATGCTTCAGTCTGATTTCTATGAATCACAATATAGATGAGAATCTGCACAGCTCTTTTATGAGGGCTGAGGTGATTCTAACTGTGACAGTGAACATATACAATCTTTTAAAATTTGTATCTTGAAATTAGTGTTATTTAATACATTTCTCAAAATTTACCCCTAACAAAATGAAGGAAAGAAAGGAATTAAAAAGAAATGCCTGTGTGAGTTTTTCTGTAGTGGTTGACTGATCTCAGTATCGACCACTGTAGAATATAACATTTGATATATAAATAATACTCAAAAGTTTGTGGTTGGTGAGTTTTTTTTTTTATGTGTTTGAAAGAAGTCTCTTATGCTTACTAAAGCTGCGTATATTTGTTTAAAAAAATACAGTAAAAACTGTAATATTGTGAAATAATATTACAATTTAAAATAATTGTTTTCTATTTTAATATATTTTGAAAATTATTTATTCCTGTGATGGCAAAGCTGAATTTTCAGCAGTCATCACTCCAGTCTTCAATGTCACATGATCCTTCAGAGATCGTTCTAATATGCTGATTTGGTGCTCATGAAACATTTATCATGATCAATGATAATGATCAACTTTTTTTGCAGGATTTTTTGATTAATAGAAATGTCAAAACAGCTAAATTTCTAGTATTCAAAATAGAAATCTTTTGCAAAATTATAAATGTCTACTGACACTTTTGATCAATTCAATACATCCTTGCTGAATAAAAGTATTAATTCCTTTAAAAAATAAACTAAAAATACCTTATTTTACACAATATTTACTCATAATTTACAATATTGTCGAACTGAGATAAAGAACTGAGGATGAAGGATGAAGATGAAGATAATCAGCCAAATGGACATAAACAGAACAGAAGTGTAATGATGTTTGACCAATAATCTCAAAAGGGTCAAATATAAACCAATACTGTATATTGGTCTATCACTTTTGCTAAAGTGACAAACATTATCCATAAGACAAATCTCAAAACAGACTCAATGGAATTCTTCACACTTTATTTTAAGGTCCAATTCTTGCTATTAACAAACCATTAACTATACGACTTTTACCTCAATAATCTCCTAATTTGCTGCTTATTAATAGTTAGTAAGGTAGTTGTTAAGTTTAGGTATTGGTTAGAATTAGGGATTTAGAATATGGTCACGCAGAATATGTGCTTTATAAGTACTAATAAACAGCCAATATGTTAATAACAGGCATGCTAATAACCAACTTGTTAATAGTGAGAATTGGTCAAAGTGTACCTTGGGCTTGTACTTAATTGTAATCGTCTACAGTGCACAAGTCCTTCAAGTCCGGCTTCCTCAGTCCTGTTTGCTGAAATGATCTGAATTGTCTTTAATGATATCTGACAGTGGCCCGATAGACAGGAGCCGGAGCAGCTGCTGACCTGGGCTGCTCTCTCAAAACCCATTATCACAGCACTAATGCACCTGAGATCAAACAGCCTTTTAGTGAAGCTACAACTGCTATAAGCACTTTGCATTAATTATGCATCAAAAGTACACAATCAATGCAATGATGCCTCTTGAGTCTGTCTTTCTGTTACCCATATGCTTTGTTTGACACCATGAAAACTGCCAAATGTGCGTTTGAGGGCCTTTATAAAGTCAAACCTTTTATGGATCCGCCGGTGTGCGTGCAGTGTTTCCCTTTAAAGGAGTC